ACTTACTCTGCTCAACCTGTTTTGTAATTGTAATTATTTTTCTATCCTTAACATGTGTTTTTGTCTTTCAGGTACACCTGGACCTGGACCTATATCTGGACCTTGACCTATACCTGGACCTGGACCTATATGTGGACCTATACCTGGACCTATACCTGGACCTACCATTCTGTGTTGGTCTGTCTCTCCTTCCTGTCCTCTCAACCAGTCGGTCAAAGCAGATGGTCTCTTGTCCTGAGCTGGTTCTGCTGGAGGTTTCTTCCTGTTAAAGGGAGTTTTTCTTTCCACTGTCTCCACTGTGCTTGCTCAGGATGGGAGACTGCAACGAAGCCAAGATTCAACTTGTCTGCTGGATTCCTTAGATAGAGAACTTTACTAATTGTCTTTTATGTGAATGTTCCTGTAAAGTCCCTGAGACAACTTTGTTGTGATTTGGCGCTTTATAAATAAACTGAATTGAATTGAATTGAACTAGCTGAATTTTGTTTTGATTTATAGTCAGAGCCTATTAGGGATTGTCATCAGCTACAAACATGTCAAATCTCAGCTGAATAGCTCTAAAATGGCAGAGTTATCTCAGTTTTTTTTTTTTTTTTTTAATAAAACAGCTGAATAGTATCCAAAAAAGTTCAATCTGGTCCTCTGGACATTCAAAAAAAAAAAAAAACAACAAAGCAAAAAAAAGTAGAAACGTTTCGTCTCTCATCCGAGAGACTTCCTCAGTCTGAGGAGCTGTATTCAGCTCAGTCTCTTAAATAGCACCTTCTCAGAGTGGATCAACCAGTTTGCTGCTGACAACCAAAACCAGCTGATCACATGCTCAAGAAGGACCATCAGCCTAACAATGGATCATTAGCACCTGATGGCTGTTTACTGTTCACAGAGGGCTGAGTGATACTAGCAATCACAGCATTGTAAGAGGGGGACAGTTGAACCTGGAGGCTCCGCCCCTGTTTAATGATGGACGATTTCTTTTCACAAAGATGGCCTCCTTTACTCCTCTCTCAAACCATCGTTCCTCTCTGTCCAGGATGTGAACATCTTCATCCCTGAAAGAGTGACCGCTGGCCTGGAGATGAGTGTAGACCGCAGAGTCCTGGCCTGATGATGTTGATCTTCTGTGCTGGTCCATCCTTTTGGCCAGTGGCTGTTTTGTTTCCCCGATGTAAGACTGATCACCCTCCTGACACTGAACAACATACACAACATTACTCTGTTTGTGCCGGGGGACTGGATCTTTGGGATGAACCAGTCTTTGCCGTAATGTATTTTGGGGTTTAAAAGCCACTGGGACGTTATGTTTAGAAAATAAACGTCTCAGTTTCTCTGATACTCCCTCAACATATGGAATGACCACTGGTCTGGGTCTGGGTTCCTCCTTTTCACCTGTTGGCTGACTGGAGTCCGGTTTGGGTTTCTTCTCTGCTTTCAGGAAGGCCCAGTTAGGATATCCACATTGCTCTAGAGCCTGTTTTGTGTGGGATTTCTCCTTCTGCCTGGCTCCTGAGCTAGTGGGGACGCTGTCTGCTCTGTGATACAGAGTCCTGATGACTCCTAACTTGTGCTCCAAAGGGTGATGGGAGTCAAACTGCAAATACTGGTCTGTGTGGGTGGGTTTGCAGTACACCTCGGTTTGCAAATGTCCTCTATCAGAGACTGAGACCTCACAGTCCAAGAAAGCCAACCTGCCATTTTTTACATCTTCTCGTGTGAACTTGATGTATTTATCCACAGAGTTGATGTGGTCAGTAAAATGTTGGACTTCCTGAGATTTGATTTTAACCCAGGTGTCATCAACATACCTGAACCAATGACTTGGTGGTGTCCCTGAAAAGGACGTCAAGGCTCTCTTTTCTACCCCCTCCATGTACAGGTTGGCAACAATAGGAGAAACTGGAGACCCCATAGCACACCCATGTTTCTGCCTATAATATTGCTCCCCATATGTGAAGTAGGTTGACTGCAGGCACAGTTTCAAGAGTTGACACAGTTGTTCTGTAGAAAGCGTGGTCCTGCTGCTCAGAGTGGTGTCTGATTTTACAACAGCTGAATAGTAGCTAAAGAAATCTAGAAAGAAGCTTTAATTTCCAAAAGGAAGTGGAGGGAGCTTAATTTTGCCTACTAAGGCTCAAGTAGGCTAAATTAAAACAATAAAGTTGAAATTATCTGAGAAAAGCTGAAATTTCCTTAAAACAGTGAATAGTAGCTAAAACAAGCAGAAACAAACTTAAATTACTAGAAGGAAGTCGGGGGAGAAGGTTTTTGTTGAATTAGGCTGAAAAATGTTTAAATGATTGCAGAAAATGTGGAATAGCTGATAAAGATGAAATTAGCATGAAAACAGCTAATTGTTAGGTAAAATAGAAGAAAAAGTTAAAACTTGCAGAAATGAGCTGCAAGGAGCAGAACAAGCTGAAATTATCATAAATAAGTTTGAAGAATCACAAACATGTTCAAGTTAGATGAATCAGGCTGAAAGGAGCACAAACAGCTGAAACAACAGCTGAAATTAGCTGATCTAGCTGAATTTTGTTTACATTTTTTTTCCACAATTAAGCTGAAAAAGCTTAACCAGGTCTAGGTAAATGTGAAAGTATTAGTACAAGGTTGTAAACATATCAAAAGTTATTAAGGTTGTAAAATAAGCTCCATTCATTTACTATGAGAGCCAAAATGGCAGAAAAGGCTAAAGATCTCAAGAATCTAAAGTTGCACCAATACCAAAAGTCACAGCAGACGTGTCCTCAAACAGCTGGACGGTTTGATATATGAGTTGTTGAACTAGCATAAAAACTGTGGGAGTAGTTAGCTGCCGAAAAACGTACGGAAAGGATAAAGCAGAAAACAGAAAAACAATAGTGTGAATGCTTCTGAAGCATTCACACTATTGTTTACTCGTCTTGAAAAGGAGTGATTATTTTAAAAGAAAACTTCTTAGTTTTTTCCCTTTTTTGAATTATTCAAATAAAACAAACAACTTCTGACAAAGCAAGCAACAACAGCTGGATTTTGTGTCCTGAATATTTGAGCGAAGGACAACAACAGGCAGGACAATAGGGAGACAGCAAGGAGAGCTGGAGAAAGGGCTCCAAGACGGATAACTCTGACAAACAGTGTGACCCCGAATTACAAGATGGGCCAAAAAGCATGTGAAGATATGTAAATGTGTTTCCACAAAGACAGGAAAAGCATTAATGTTCAAGAACAAATAAACTTTACATCTTCTGTGTGACGTCTTGGCACTGGAGAAGTAATTCATTCATGTACACAGGGAAACGAGAAACAGGAGACGGGTTTGCTTCAGAAAACGACTGCTAGTGTTAAAGTCGACTTTCTGCTAGTCCATACTTAAAGCAGTTAAGTAGAGATGATGTATTTGCAAGGTGAATATCGAACACTACCATTTTATTATTTCTTTACATTACTGTGCATTTTTGAGTCCTTGTTCACAGACAGACAAGAATCCTATAAAATGTTTGGATCAGGACGGTGATCCAGATCACCTCCAACATTTAATCATCTGTTCTTTGTGACAACCTCAGCATTTCCTGAATATTTTAAGGATTCAAGCTTCTTTATTTGTCACATGCATCACATGTGGTACATTTGGTGGAACGAAACTGTGTACACAGGGTCCCAGTTACATCCAACTATAGTATAAAATGTAAAAGAAAAAACAGTAATAAGATCTAAGATATGAAATAAGAAAAATGTTAACTATTTCAAGAGAATCTCTTCATAAGTTTTTGAGTAATCTTGTGCACAGACAGACAAACCAACAGCGTAACCTCCTTGGTGAAGGTAATAAAACCAGCATTCCTACAAGGAAAGATAGCACCAGCTGCTAGCTACTAGTTTTACCCCATTCTTCTTTACTGGGTTGCAGGGTCAGCTGGTGCCAATGTCCAGCAGTCACTGAGTGAGAGACAGGGGACACCCTGAACAGGTCCACAGTCCATCACAGGGACACCCTGGACAGGTCCACAGTCCATCACAGGGACACCCTAGACAGGTCCACAGTCCATCACAGGGACACCCTGGACAGGTCTCCAGTCCATCACAGG